GCTGAACAAGTTTGTTCTATGTAACAACTATGATTTACTTAATAAACTTTTGAGTTTTTGCAGAAAGAAGAAAATTATGAAGTTTAGTTATATCCCAGTAATAAACACCTTTGGGGATATAAAACTGAGCCGCTTATATGTAAAATTCTGTTAGGAACAATTTTACTTAGGCAGCCAAAGTAGATTTACTTAATAAAAATTGAGAAAAAAGTAATTATGTTTAGAGAAAATTTGGTACAAGTGATCGTCGGGAAGAGTTAATAATTATCCTATTTGGTTTTCGAAAAGAATATGTTATTCATTATTTGAGCTTCAATACTATGTAAAATTAGGTATGATAGTAGATAAGGTAATAGAAATCTTATCTTTTGATCAAACTAACTAGCTCGCACCCTATATAGCTTTTAATACAGAAAAGCGACAAGGTGCTAAGAATGCTTTTGAGAAAGATTTCTTTAAACTCATGAATAACTCAGTATATGGCAAAACTATGGAAAATGTTCACAAATACCAAGACGTCAAGCTCATGGCTATGAATAATGAGCAAGACGAAAAGAAATTTATTAAGCAGATCTGTAAACTCTCTTTTAAATATGCTAGACAGCTTGGAAATACACTTGTTGGAGCACATATAGGAAAAACTAGTGTAACTCTCAACAAGCCTATTATTGTCGGAGCATCAGTTCTTGGCCTTAGCAACTTTTAATGTATCGCTTCTGGTATGAATATATAAAAGAAAGATATAGTGATAAAGCAATACTTGGATATATGGATACAGACTCATTTATATTTATAGTTAAAACTGAAGATATCTATAAAGATATGGCTGAACAACCTGACCTTTTCGACCTTAATGATTCTAAGACTATTGGGCTTTATAAAGATGAGACTCCAGGCAATGTGATTACAGAATCTTATCATATTCGGGCTAAATCATATCACTATGTCTTAGCAGATAAGTCTACAAAGTCTAAGCATAAGGGGGTTAGTAAAAAAGGTATAAATAAAATGGCCATAAATTCATACATGCCAGCTTTAGAAGGGTCCTTGCTAGATGATCCGATAGATAGATCATTATTATCAGAACAAGAAGCTATGCGAACTGAGGCAGATCCTATAACCCTAGTATTTCGGGACTGTCTCTTTGATAAGGAAGTATTCTATGCCAAAAATGTAGGTATTCATTCAAAAAACCATATATTATCTTTGATCGAATCAGAAAAGAAGGCTCTTTGTCCTATAGATACTAAGCATTGGATATTATTTGATAAAATAACTAGTTTTCTATATGATCATTGGCATATACAAGCATATAAAAATTTTATATCAAATGGAATATCCCAAGAGTTGGCTGAACAAAGAGCTTCAAGTGTTAAGCTCTCAAAGAAGTAACAAAATGAATGTGTATCTCACATATCTACATAAGCTAGATAAGTAGTCATGATATTGTATATAGTTAATATTTTTTTTAAATATAAATATAAATTTTTAATTATTATTTAGAGTTGATAATGGCTGAATTATGTGACCAAGTTTCCCAGTACATAGGCTTCAAACCTAATGAAATTCATTTTCCAATCATAGAAGAAGATAGACAGATATTGCAAGAAATAATATTAGACCAAAAAGAAATAGAAGATATTGTAATGAATGATTACCAATTTTTGTTACATTATGGACATAATGGTAAGGGTGGTAATCAGATCCATATTGGCTGAATATTAGCATATACGGTATCTCAAGCTGAAAAGATCTTAATTAATCCACCCAAAGATTTACCAGAAAGCTATTAGCTCATATCAAAAAAAGATTCAAAGAAGTTCCACTTGCACCGCTACTTATACAGTAGTACATAACCTTAAGATCACAATATTATGTGATTACTGCGCCACATACTGCGTCTTGTGTAATGTAGTACCTGACCTTGAGGTTACAGTCTTATAAAAATATTAATATATATTGCAAAGCAATAACCTTTTGGGTCTAAAGTCAGTAACTATTATCAAAATAGTTGGATGCTTTTTTAATTCTCAAAATTAATATTATTGCAAAGCAATGGCCCTTCGGGTCTACATTTACATTGCTTATATATGCCAACTGCTATTTTTTTGCATACTTAACAATATAGATGTGAATGGTGATTGCATTTATCACAAATTTTACATCCATGCTTCCACCCTTTAAAGATATGCCACTTTTCGATATAATTTTGATCTTTCATTATTATCAAAATGGAATTGGTGTTCAGTTATAATATTATCGATTTTTTTTATAAAAATAAATATGCAAGGCCTTATATA